ATATACAACTCAGCATCAGTGATCATTGAGGCACAAAGATTTAGGCACAAAGATACTGCGCAGAACCCTCAAGCTCCCAGGCCTCTGGTAGAGGACCCGAGCTCAGAGGATGAAAGAGACCACCCGCGGAGGGTGAGAAGGGAATTTATTTTATATGTATATATATATATATATGCACATACACATTCAATTATTGACCGATCAGAAAACCCAGGATTTAAACACCTGTTTGTGTGCAGTTATGAGCATACATGTTTTTACAAGATCTCTCCAATGGAATGTTTCACAGTGACTGTGAAGGACCGTTACTCATATAGGTTATATCTGTTCAAATCATGTACAGTATTTGTAAGTCCAAAAGAGGCTTCCAGTCATTTTTTACTCCCTTACTTAGGCGTTTGAAGGACAGATTTTTTTTGTACACTTGCATAAGTAGTCTAAAACATAGTGTGACAGTTCCTTTAGCATTTCTTCCAATGTTAAAGTGCACTTGTCTAATATAAAGCAGATAGTCTGCCTGGTCGATTATATTCCTGCCACATAAATGTTTCAATAAAAATATCAAATAAACATGCAGTGAGTGCCCAAGCACTCCAGGGTCTAACTCTGTCCTGGCTTAGTTTAAAGTATGAAGCAGGTGCTGATGGATGAAATGGAACTATCTTTTGTCACTGATGTCTTTAAAAGCGACGTCCTGTTTTCCCCCTGGATCAGTGTGTCTTCACTGAGCGCAGGGCGGTCGCTCCTCACACAGACAGACTCAAAGGCGAGCAGGACGGGAGCTGCTGCTGCTGTTGTTTAAAGCTCAGGCCTGGCCCGGAGACTGCTGACTGGCGCAAAATAGAAACACGGGGGTGGAACCGTCAGAGAGCTGGAGAGTGACTGAAAGCCGAAGCCGAGACTGATGGCGCTCGAGAGAGAGAGAGAGAGATGTGGGGAAGGAGGGAGAGATCTTATCGAGCCAGTGTGAGTCAGCAGGTTGATGGAGCTTCGGGGTGCGGCTCTAGCACATCACTGCTTCTCTACGGCTTCCTGCCGGTTTGTGCCGGTCCACTCAAACCAGCCGGAGCCTGTTTTGCTTCACTGGATGTAGAACCAGGTGGTGCAGACTATCATCTGTGTTCCCCATATAGATTATATGTCATGCATTTATTTCACGGCATCTTAGGTGTAAAATCAATTCGCACATTTTCTGTCCGTGGACAGCTGGATGCTCAAATGTATCTTAAAGCTGACAAAAATGCAGCTAAGTGGCTGCAAATATGAAATTTATCATTCTAATAGAAGCAGTTTGTGGAGTTAAATATCAGCCATGAGCAAGCTTTGATTGGCTTTATTGGCAGCCTAAAACTCCTTTTATTAAAATGAATGTCTCGTGTGTGCAGGACCAGGGAACAACGTCCCTGCCGTGTACGGCCTGGATGTGACAGACGTGTCAAAGTGGGAGGAGACGGTGCTGAACCCTGCACTGCAGATCTTGGACCGTCTCAGTAAGGTGGGGCCTCAGCAGACTAAACCTGCAGCTTCCTGTCAGCTGCTTTCATCCACCGCTGCGAAGCAACACTTTCATCCTGACCTCTGTTTCTTTTTTTTCTTTTTTTTCCTCCTTCTGTTTCCTGTGTTTCCTGCTCCTCTACCATCACTTTGGATCTTGTTCTCTTACATTCTTATATTTGTTTGATTTGTCCTTTTTGGCATTTTAAAAATGCCTTTATTTATTTTTATTCTCCTTTCTTTCTGCTGTGTTTTAGATTGTTACTTTTTAAATTCCTCTCTATGTGTGTTTTTTAACACTTCTTTCATCCCTGTGCATAATCAGCCAACAACTGAACCTGCCAACATTAGGCTGTAATAGTCACTATTCTGTAATATTTTACAGCAGTAATCTGACTTTTAAAGATACACATCAGCCTCATCACAGCACTACTGAAGTCTAAATCAAAATCAATAGATTTATCTGACATAGGGGAAATGTTCTAATAAGTTAAATTAAAAAATAGTTTATAATTTATGAATTACTTTAAATTTGTTAAAGCACCACCCCGTTTAAAAGGGAAACAAAAAGCATGTATAGAACTTGCAGCATTTAGTGCAAATTGTGGATATTGATTAGTATCGCTTTTCATTTAATGGATGAAAAATTAGGATTGAAATGAGAACAAAAGGTTGTATTGATGTGGTTGGAATTGCACCACATGTAATATAACTTAGGAATTGAGAAAATAAAAAATGTATTTGCAACATCTGATGAAAATAATGACTGTATCCTAGTGCAGGGCTATTCATCTAAATTACTCCGGGGGCCACAGTTACTGCAGGTCAACAGCTGAGGGGCCGAACATCCAGCAATTAAAGTCATTATGTAAATAAATCAAGTATTACAAAGATCTGTTACCTTAATAGTTTATTTTGCTGCATTTAATCATGAATACAACATACAGAACCCTATAAAAGTAGTGATAATTAAACAATATCAAAAACAAAAATGACACATTCTGCCTCCTATTTGACACAAAAATCATTTTGACATCTCTGATTTGCCAAATTTTTAAACCAATTTTATTTTCACTTTGATAGTTTTATCTTCAACTGCTTGTCATTTTAACTGTCTTTAGTTGCTTAGAAATGGTTTTTACCAGCTTGTAGCCAAGATTCTGATGTTTCTGTAGATACCAAACATGTCTATGTCTAACTAAAAGAAATTAGAGTAATTAAAGTAGAAAACCGGGGCTTTGGACTTAAAACATGAATGAACCAATTGGTGGGCTGAACTTTGGTCACTCGCAGGCCACCAGTTGAATAGCCCTGTCCTAGACTAAAGTAAAATAAAACTTGTCTTTTCTGCTCTTTTCTATAACAACCTCCTAAAAAATACTCATAATATTAGGAAGTGTTTTTGTTTGATGTATTTTCCAGTTTTTACACAAATGTCTATTTCCAGGCCTGTTTGATTAGAACCAGGAGGAACGGGAACAGAAAACTGAACGTTGTCTAAATCAAGGGTTCCCAACCTGGAGGGGCACCAGAGAACATGAGAGGCACATAACAGTATATTAAAATCATCAAAACAAGTCCATTTGACTAATTAAAACCATGAATTTAACACTTCTTTCCCAAATGAAAGTTTGTAAGTATTCACTTTATTCTTTTATTATTTTAATGAAGAGATGAAGGTTGAACAGGTCTTTAGGAGAGGTGGGGCGTAGCGAGGGATTTGGGGGCTCAGCTTAGAGAGGAAAACAGGTTGGGAACCACTGGTTAAAATGACCAAACATCTTTTTAACAGACTGAGGAAGTGGTTATTGTACGTGTCTCTTGTCTAAAAATGGGATTAGATTATTCCAACTCTTATTTCTGGGTATCAGGGCGAAGAGCCCGCCATCGCACCAATCAGAGTGGAGGGGGCGGAGCAGAGAAACAAGCTGAGCTACAACACCTGTGATCTGTGTGACAGAATCATCATTGGAGACGTGGAGTGGGCAGGTGAGCCTGAGCACACCAAATCATTTTTAATCATAAAACTTCTTTTACTATTTAGCCCCGCAGCTGGTTGCTAGATTTGATCAAAACTGTCGAAATCCTGAAATGAATCCACTCTGTGATATTAAATGTGATTAACTTCTACCTTTGATCAGAACGAGAGCAGAAGCTTCAAATCTTCAAAGCTTCTAGTTATTGTTCAGAGTTTTTGAAGTGGAGCTCTGTGGAAAGGTTATGAGCTAATAACAGCTTAACTGTTTAATAAGAAATCTTTTTAAACAACCTCAGACCGGAGCTGTTTTTTTTAATAGATCAGTGACCTCAAGTACTTAAAGACCTGTTTTTGTCCTGCAGCTCACCTGAAATCCAAGAAGCACCAATATCACATGAGGAAGAAGAGGAAGTCCGATCCAGACAGTGACCTGCCTGCGAGTACTGGTGAGCCCCCTGTCTCTGCAGGAACCTCCCCCTCAGAGGACTGTGATGAAACCTCTCAGGACTACAGCACACATGTGAGACTTTGAAACCTGCACTGACTCAGATCTTCTTAGTTTCTAACAGCAGACTAATCAGTGAAGGATTCTTCGTAGTTCTCAGATATTTACTTCAGAGCTTTAAAAAAAAACTTGCAAACGACAAAGCGCCTTGATGGATGTCGACGGACGCCAGAAAAATCCTTGAAGCAGATCCGGTTTTGTTTTGCATTCTTGTGGACTTGCAAGGATAAATTTAATTTTTGTTTTTTGTTTTTTTTTTCAACCTGAATGAAATTTTAAAAGTATTAAAAAAATTCAATCTCTGCAAAATGCACAGCATTGTTGCCATTTTCAGTCACAGTTCAAGCTTGAAGTCATTTTGTTTGAAACCTGAATATATTCAAAGTTTCTCACCTCACAGATGCATTTCTGTCAATAAAAGCCCGAAACAATGAGAAGCTTTGAGTTGAACATGAGCAGGAGTTTTGCTCACCCAGAACAGAGTATTGGGACTTGTTTTCCTGCTCGTTTTTCTGTCCCAAAAGGCACTTTTTTCTGCTGCTGTGTGTTAATGACCAGTTAGCTCACGTCTGCTCTGACAGTGGAGTAAACCATGAGGAGACGGTGTTTTTGCATCGCTGGTTGTTTATCCAGCAGCACGTTGGACCTCTTTCAAACGAAGGTGTCTGGCTCTTGTTAAAACCATTTAAACAATGTCTGGCATTGGTCCAAAGGCCTCTTTTTAGCGTTCCTTTTTCCACCCTCGTCTTTTTTTTCAATTGTTCCACTTTCTCTGCTGACGTGCCGTAATCTGTCTAAGTTGTTTGCTTTAAATATTTAACTTGGTTCACAGGCTCCTAAACATTGACTCCTTCCACACGAGGCTAAAATATGTTTGCGTAATAATAGGTGGAAGTGTGCGTGTTTTCCACATTCTCTTTTTCCAAACTGGGTCATGCTTACTGGGAGCTCAACATACAGTTGTCGGAGTCACAGCAGGAGCAAAGGTCACCGTGCAACTGGTGTCTGGCTTATATAACCCGCTGTGTTTGGAGGAGTTGTTTTTCTTCTTCAGCGTTTTTAATTCAGGAAGAAACAACTCTGTTTTCTTTCTGTTTTTATGAGTACATAAAGAAAAGAGACAGAAAAGAGACGCAGACAGAAGGACTGGTCCAGGTGTATGTTCCTCTGGAAGAGAGACAAAAATCATGTTATTGATAGAAGTAATTACAATAAACATGTAGCAGTTTAAGCCTACAGCAGCAGAACTAAAGAGTAACTCAGAAAACCTAAACCTAATTATAGGATTTATCAAAAAGGAAAGTCTTCAGTCTAATCTGAAAAGTAGACAGTGTCAGCCTCACCTACAGAAACTGGAAGCTGGTTCCACAAGAGAGGAGCTTGATAACTGAAAGCTTGTGTACAGTTTACAGTAGGGTTCGGCAAAACTGTATCATGTGCAGTTAATCATCAGAAAAACTGTCAACAATTAATATTTGCTAATTTGCAATGACTGCGATCAGTGCCATGTGGTGTATTTTTATGTGGATGCATTTTTACTATCAAGCACACACGTGAGCCTGTGGAATGTGGCATTATTAACGATCTGCTGCCGCTCAACATTGTGCAAAAGATGGCTTTAAGCTCACAGCTGATTGTGACTTTTTTTTTGCAATAAAGCCCAGCCTTAGTGTTTGTACAGTTTATATCAATAAAAAATTTATGTTTTTATTATTATGAAACCTAAAATACTGAACTGTACAGAAGAAAGTTTCTTCTGAACATTTTGAGTTTTATTTGCTTTCACTAAAGCAGAATCATGTTTGTTTGTGGAGGCATAAAAATAACCACCTTTATGAGTTGTCTCTCATGAATATCTCACATTTCTCGTCTCACCTTGTGTTGTATGCTCTTATCTCGAGCTCCTCGGCACCTCCAGGCACTGCTGATTCACTTTACAGAAGCCAGCTTGTGCCCGACGCCAACTGAACTTTGTTTAGGTTCTCACAGACGTGGAGCTGTAGGCCGGCCTCCACGGTCACGTGGCTAATTCTGCACCTTTTATTAGATGTTGACAGAGGATTAAAGAACCAACCGACCAATCAGTCCCATTTCAAAATGCCCCCCACACACACACGCACACACGCACGCACACAAGTTAGTTTTCTGTCCTCCTGGGGCTTTTACATCGACTTCCATTCATTTCCTGGCCATTTCTATAGCCTAACCCTGACCCCTTACCCTAAAAATAACTTCAACTCAATTGTCCTAAATTAAACCCCTGACTCACCAATAGTATTTTCCAAAATGGAGATTGGGCTTTTGTCCCCATAAAGAACAGTGGGTCCTCAGCAGGCTGTGTGTACGAGAAAATGGTCAATAATCATCCCCACCAAGTAGCAAAAATGTGCTTGTGTGTGTGATTGGGAAGACAAACATTGAACAACCCTGACCGCTTACCCAAACCCTAACCTAAACTGAAGACCATAGTCCTAACCCTAAACATATTTGTGGTTATATTCTTTTTATTTTAGTGCTAAAAATAGTCTTCAAATCAACCTCAGGAAAGCATTAAAGTGAAACCATGCTTTTTTATTTTATGAATTTCAATTCAACACAATGAAACATTCATAAGTGTGTGTTCACAGCCAGGTGTAGAATCACAACATGTTTTCAAGATCTCAGAGCGAGCTCCTTTGTATGTATGGATGATGGTGATCCTCCTCATGCTCTCATGTTTCGTCACGTTACACCGTCACGTTTCCACAGCGCACCAAAACAAACGAGCCCAACACCAGTCTCAGACCTGTTTACTATGGAGTACCTTTCACATTAAAAAAAACAAATTTCAGATCAGCAAATACTTCACTTTGTAAACATTTACTGAACATCTGATCATCTAGAAGCATTGATGGATAATGACTTGAATGAAATACTTAAAAAAAGGAAAATTAGACAGTAGTTACGAAGAAGCTATAATTAATAAAACATAATTTAAAAAATAATCTATCAGGTATTTTCAAAAAGACCTCCTGCTGTGCAACATGTTTGTGTGGAGCTAAAATGTGTGAAAGCAACAAATGAAAGCATGCACCACTATAGAAGAATGTCTAATGTTGACCGTAACCAGTTCTAACAAGGAAAGTTTAAAGGTTGAAGGAGGGTATAGACTTGATGAGTGCCAAAATAAATTCTCTGAAGTTGGTTGTGTGATGAAATTTGTGTCTTTTGGCTTTTTGTTAATTCAGACTGAGTCACTAATAAAACAACACTGACTCTAGGTCAGTGGTCCTCGAGAGCCACGTTTTAGTTTTAGTTGTTTTTCTGCCCTTACGCAGTTCTTCAAGTTGTGCAGAAGCCTGTTAATGACTCATTTACTCAAACCAGGTGTGATGAAGCAGAGAAACATTAAAAACATGCAGGACAGTGGTCCTCGGGGACTAGGATTGAGGGCCACTTCTCTAAATGTAACAAAATTCCACACTTTGGACCGTTAGACTTTAGTTACAGATTAAGACGTTTTTCTCCAAATTGTACCTCAAAGCTGAGCGCCTTCTCCACCTCGCAGCTACTAGTGTAGTAGTGTGTCATCCAGTGACGGTGCATCGAGGTAATTTGAAGTCCCCTTAATCCTAATCTCTAATCCCATTTGACTAAACATTCCCTGCCATCTGGCCTTGGCTAGACGAGGAGAAATAAACACTCGCAGACATGCTCTCAGCTAATCAGATCGAGACGCAGCTGTAGTCAAAGACATTGTTGACAACCTTTCCTCGAGAAGTGTTGGTCCGCTAATGCAGAGCCGTGTTTACAGACGGAACAGAAGGCTAAATATTTGTGAATGACAAAAGCTCTAGACACCACACAGTCGCGTAATCTCAGCGTGTGGAACGCGAAGGACCTGGCTGAGAATGTGGCGTAAACAGTCGAGCCGCAGAAAGGTTCGGGCATCAGACTGCCAGCTCCTTGTTGGGTTTATTTGACCCTCATCTTTGCTAGTGCTCATATCTGCACCCTTAGACGCTGCTTTGTTTTTTTTAATCTATGCTAATTAGACGTGTGTGTTTTTATTTGCCTGAAAGCTTCCTGAGTTCAGGGTTGGTGTTTGGCCGTCTGTAGACGAAGACAAAGACGCTCGAAACCTGGGAGTTGCGTAACCGAGTGAGAAACTTAACACTGTCAGGTGTGACTCGATCTGATAAAAGCAGATTGTTACATGAGCGTTGTTTTGTGTGTGTGTATGTGTGTCTGTGTGCGGCTTTTTTTAAACCTTCACTTCAATTAGTAACAGAAACCACCCTGCTCTAAACCTCCTCTGCTGCTTTGTGTGGTTCTGCTTCTCTTAGACCTGTACAGTGTCTCATAAAAGTGAGCACACCCCTCACATTTATGTAAATATTTTATTGTATCTTTCCGTGGTACAACACTGAAAATATGACACTTTAATACAATGGAGAATAGTACTTGTAAAACAGTGTAAATGTGCTGTCCCCTCAAAATAACTCAACACACAGTCAATGACGTCTAAGGGTGTATTCACACCAGGAAGGTTGTTTGGTCCAGATCAAAAGCAAACTTTGTTTTGTTTTTTCATTTGGTGCAGTTTACATTCACATTGTGCTTTTTTTTACGAGCAAACTGTAATTTAGAAACAAAGCTACGTGGGTTACAATCATTGCTCCCATTGGACAGAATTGACAGGGGTGGGACAGAGCACAGACCCAGAAAGAAAGATGGTGCTGTTAATACAACTGCAATACCATTTAGAAGTTCAAAACCAGCTCATTCACAGACGGTTTCATGATGATATACCTTTAATTTTGTGACGGCGTTGTAAAATTCGTGCCGCAACCCAAAGGAGATGAGATGCTCCACGTTCCCCGTCCCACAACAGCTCATTGATTGTAGGGCATTGTTAGCATTAGCAACACTGAAGGGCTATCTGTTACCATGTTGCTTAACTTAGTGATGTCCAAAGTGGCGCATGTTTCCTGTAGCTGCTTCAGTTCGAGGCTGGTCTGTATTCACACCAGAAGTTGATCACACCAGAGCCCGTTTGGAAGTGGAACGAAACCCATTTTTGAGGTGGTCTCGGTCTGATTGTTTGATTCACACCTGCATAAAAGGTCAGACCAATGGGGGAAACAACCCCTGGTCCATTTAAAGTTAATCAAATGTGTCGGGTGTGAATACACCCTAAATCTCTGACAACTAAAGTGAGTACACCCCAAGTTAAAATGCCCAAGTTGTGTTGAGGGTGTCAATATTTTGTGTTGGCATTATTATTTTCTAGCAATCCTTTAAGTCTATTGGGTTCACTAGAGCATCACAGGTTTCCTCTGGGATCCTCTTCCACTCCTCCATGATGACATCACAGAGCTGGTGGACGTTTATGTCCCGAGACAGTCAGATCATGTTGGAAGACCCCCCTGCAGCCCTGCTGTCCAGTTTTTCAAAGGAGGGGATCGTTC